GAACCTTGAGAATCGTCATTCTGAACTCTAGATCTGACATATTACCAATGTCTGTATTGATTAGGTCCCTAGCCTTTGGTACTGCCTCTTGTTCTTTTTTTTGTGGTGAATTTTTCTGCCTTGTCATTTTGTCCAGATAAGAGTAAATGAAGGAGCAAGTAAAATACTAAAAGGGCGGCAACAACCCCAGGAACATATGCTTTAGCCAAATCAAAGAGATCCCAAATCGTGAGGGGGGAGAAAGGGGATAAAAAGAGGTTCAGAAAGAAGAAAAAAAAAAGAAAGAAAGAAAGAAAGAAACAATTAAAAAAAGAAAACCAATAAAGAAAAAATATAAAAAGAAAAATAAATATATATATATATATATATATATATTAGATAAACTAGTTAAAAAACGTTAAAAAAGAAAAGGGTAAAAGTTAAAAAAATTTAGCAGAAGAAGAAAAATAAATTGAAAAAGAAAAAAAAATTAAATTAACTGCAAGGCTAAAGAATCATGGGGAGAAAGCCATGAGTTCCGTGCTTTGCTTTCTCCTCCTCTGGAATTCCGCTGCTCTCCTTGGTATTGAAACTGCAGTCCTTGGTAGGTGAACTTGGTCCTGGCTGGGCTTCTTGTTGATCTTCTGGGGGAGGGGCCTGTTGTAGTGATTCTCAAGTGTCTTTGCCCCAGGCGGAGTTTCACCGCCCTTACCAGTGGCCTGGCTGAGTAATCCGCTAGGGTTTGTTTCAGGAGCTTTTGTTCCCTGATTGCTTTCCTTAGAGTTCCGGAGGGCGGGAATGAAGATGGCGGCCTCCCGGTCTCCGGCCCAGAGGAGCCGAGAGCCCGGGGCCCCACTCCTCAGTGCGCCCTCAGAGAACAGCGCCCAATTACTCCCGTCACCCTGCCTCCAGCCGTGCTCGGAGCTGACCGAGCCTGCGACCGGTTCAAGGTAACCCTGAGAGCCGGCTTCCCTGTTGTAATACCTGTAAGCTCTGCGACACTCAGACACCCCCGATCCTTCTGTGACCGTGCGGGACCTGAGGCCACGCTGACCCTGCGTGGGCTTCACCCCGGTTAAGCCTCTGGAGCGATGTCCCTCAGCGGAACAGACTTTTAAAAGTCCCGATTTTGTGCTCCGTTGCTCTGCCGCTTGCCGGGAGCCGGCCCCTCCCCCTGCAGTCTATCTTCCCGTCGCTTTGGATTCACTTCTCCGCCAGTCCTACCTTTCAGAAAGTGGTTGATTTTCTGTTTCTAGAGTTGCTGTTCTTCTTCTCTTCGATCTCCCGTTGGATTTGTAGGTGTTTGAAGTCTTTAGATAAGCTATCTAGCTGATCTCCCGCTACCTGAAGTAGTCTCAGCCTGCTACTTCTCCGCCATCTTGACTCCTCCCTCTATTGTATTTTTTTAAAAGCAGTCTTATTGGGGTATAAATCAAGATAACCATACAGTTCACTTATCTTTAGTTAATTTTTGTCTATGGTGTAAGGTAGGGTGACAACTTCATTCTTTTGCATATGGTTATTTAGTAGTCCAGGAATCACCTGCTGAAAAGACTATTCTTTACCTGGTGTATGGTCTTGGTGCCCTTATTGAAAATAAGATGACCATAGATGTGTGGGCTTACTTCTAGATTCTTAATTCTTAGACATTGATTTAATGTCTAATGCCAGTATTACATTGTGTTGATTACCATTGCTTTGTATTGAGTTTTGAAATGGAAAAGTGTAAGTCTAAATACTTAGTTCTCCTTTTTCAAGATTGTTTTGATGTTCTGGGTCCCTTGCAATTCCATATGAGTTTTAGCATCAGCATGTCAGTTATTATAAAGAAGTCAGCTTGGCTTCTCACAGGGACTGCTTTGAATCTCTCCATCATTTTGGGGAATATTAAGTCTTCTAATTCATGAACATGAAATACTCTCTTTTATTTAAAATTTCTTTAATTCCTTAAACAGTGTTTTGTACATTTCAAGTTATAAATTTTGTACTTCAAATTATTCCTCAGTATTTAAGTCTTGTGAAACTATTATAAATGGAATTAATTCCATTTCCAGATTGTTCATTCCAAGCATATAGAAATAAAGTTGACTTTTGTGTATTAATTTTGTATCCTGAAACATTGCTGAACTTGTTTATCAGTTCTAATAGTTTTGGTAGTAGATTCCCTAAGATTTTCAGTGATTAATTTCTTAGGAGACAAGGAATGGATCACACAATTATAAGAGCCTTTGTATCCCAGTTCTCCTCAGTCTGAGCAGCAGTCCCAGATTTACTACATCATTTCCTTCAGAGTTCTTCCCCTCACTCCCATGCTAGCTCCCAACTCCTTTTCCTACTTTTTTCCTGCCATTCACAGTATTTCTGGTAACTGTGGGCCTATAAGACTTGGAAGTTGGTAATTAATGGGCTGGGGAATTATGAATATTTTTTCCTTTACTATCTTGTAGTCACCTTGCTAAATAATTATAAATGTAGCATCAATGTTTATATTTGGCTGGGATATTGGAGTGACAAATAATAATTTGATTCTAAAACCCTTGGGAATAATAAAGTGCTATATAAGCTTTTACTGATGATAAAAATTACTTAATATTTTTGGGGTGCCTGGGTGGCTTGGTCAGTTAAGCATCTGTCATGAACCTGGGGTCTTTATTTATTTATTTGAGAGAGAGAGAGAGAAAGTGTGTGTGTGTGTGTGTGTGTGTGTGTGTGTACGTGTACGTACACACATACTGCGGGGGTTGGGGGGGAGGGACAAGCAGACTCCCTGCTGAGCAGGGAGCCTAATGCAGGACTCCATCCTAGTACAATGGATTCATGATCTGAGCTTAAGGCAGAAGCTTAACTGATTGAGCCACCCAGGCACCCCAAAAGTGATTCAATATTAATTTGTCTCAAGTGGTTTTTAGTAGTTGTTATTATTTGAAAGGTCAGGTTTACCTGAAGGTAAGCTGAGACAGTAGTCTTTCCCACACTGCTCCACTCATTCAGGCAGTCTGAACAAAGAAAAGGACATGTAGGATTGCAATTCTAAAAGATTTTCAGACTGTCCTATTAAGTTACCTTAATTTAGCATCATGGAATTTGTGGAGAAGAAAATGAGCTAGTATAGATTCAAATCTAAAACAGTTTTACTTTACTGCCCTCTAGAGGCAGTTATTACATAATGCTGTCTTTTTAAAACTGCATAGAAGTTGCTTCCAAACTGGATGTAGAACAGGAGGAAAAGGTGAGTTGTTCTTTGTAGGTAATTTCTCTGTACTTCTCTCAAAATTGTTCTTTCCCTAGTAGGTGATCAGCATGCATTGTCTCCTACTGAGTGAATGAATCTGAATGGTGCTAGAAGATGCCAATAGATTTATTTATTTAGACAGATCTGGGAGAATTTGGTGTTTTATGGGAAGACTTAAAACAAATATTCTTAAAGCTCCTCTTTATGAGTTTAATTAAATCTTATATACTTAGGATGATATTATAATGGCATCTTTCTGTATGACATCCAATTAATAATAAGATAATCTAATTGGGGACCAGTTATAGACATTAAAACATGAAATAATTCTATTTCAAACAACTTCATAAACTATTGTTTGGATAGTGTTATCCATATACTTCAAAAGTATTTTCTTATTTGTTTCTGAAAACTTCTTATTCTGTGTATCCAAATCTCAATTAATTAAAGGATATAGTTCTTTTTAATTAGGCCACAATATGTGCAGACTATATATTTTAAATTATTGGATAATTCTACAGATATATTGTAGCATCATTTTAGTAAAGCATAATCTATTGAGTATTTAGTTTTGATAATAACAATTATCAGTTGATGTAAAATTGACAGTGTAAAGTAATTCTAAAATTGGAAAACAATATATTTTAACATATCAGGAATTATTGAATAAAAGAAGAAAAGTCTTTAAAATATTACAATTTAAAGCCCACCTGAAAGTATGTTTTCTGACATGAACATAACTTTGTAAGAAGTTGACTTTGCTATAGAAGAATAGCATTATGTTGTTGTTTTCAAACAGAACCAGTTTTTATCTGTTGGAAATCATAACACACACACCAGTTGATACTTAGCTGAATCCCCCTATTTCCCCAAACAGAAGATTGTGGGAGATTTATTCACTTATGAAAATTTCAGATTGTGTTTCTTCCTCAGTTTAAAATAATAGCTTACAGACATAATATGCTATTTGAATTAGAAAAACATTAGCTATTTCTAGAAAATATTTTCTAACTTTATTGTAGGAAGAGATCAAATTGGTGGACAAGTTTGTGATAAAAATCCCAATGAGTTAAATGAAAAAATAATTATTTTTCAGTGTAATTTATATAAATAACTGTGTCCTGTAAGTCCATGGAGATCCATTCTTGCTTTATGAATATGACCATAATAAATAAGTGCATTGTGAGTTTGGGATTAGAAGGCTAATAGACATTGTGGTTTCCTAAAGAGAATTTTATTCCAACTCTTCATATGAAAAATCTGTATCTAGTTCCAAGTTTTTGCTCAACTCTTTCCTCCATTTTTAGTTCTTCCCACTACTTGCTAAAATGTCTATTTAATACCTGAATCAGTACTGCCACCTTGTGATATTTTTCTTAATTTTATCTGGCCAAATTCTTACTCCTTTCCTTGGGTACTACTTATCTCTAATTTTACTGGTTTAGTCTTCCTCACATTTGCACATGTTTTATCTCTCTGGATTAGAACCTCTTCTAGGGTAGGACCCATGTCACTGAGTATCCCTATTAGTGGTCTCTCCTGGATATTTCTTCAATGCATTTGAATAGTGGAATAGTTAATATAACAACTGTCCCTGTCACTGTTTACCAAAAAGGAAGTAAAACTTAGCTTTTGTGGTTTATTTCACAACTCAAGTGTCTGCCTTGCCAAACAAAGGGGTTGAAAAATTACTAGCTTGTGGATTTAGAATGAAATATAACTTCCCAATTTATTATGTTTGATGGTCATCTTTTTTTAAAATACATTTTTCATTTCTCTCTTTTTGCAGCTTTTGTCATTCCTTCAGGGTTTATTTACTTTTTACCACGAGGGATATGAACTCGCCCAGGAATTTGCACCATATAAGCAACAACTTCAATTCAATTTGCAGAATGTAAGACTAAACCTGTTCTCACTGCTTCTCCTTAGTGAATCAGGTGGGGACAGAGAAACTAACTATAATGAGGCCAAGCCTTGGAGTGTTTCAAAACTTATCTAATTTAGAAAAGTCATTTAATAAATTTATTAAAACATTTTTTTCTAGCTGCTGGTTGAAAGTGTACCAAGAAGGAGTTAATCATATGTTAGAAAAATTTATGCTAGCAAATTTCATAGAAATAACTATTACTGAGGTATAGATAATAGATACTTGGAAAGCTGGAAACTTTTGCCTTTATCCAATGTTCTCATTATTTTACTGGGTGACCTCAGGCAAGTCTTATTTTCTTTTTTCTTTTCTTCTTTTTTTTCAATTTTTTCAGTTTTCTAAGATTCATTGTTTATGCACAAAGGGTAACACTTCTATATTTGTGAAATGAAAAGGTTAAACTTTAGCATTGAAGGAATGTCCTTTTCCTCTCTGAAATTGTATATAAGTGATATTTTTATTTTCTAATAATTGAAATGTGGCTTTTAAGCATTCATAGACTGCTTTAAAGCTTAATGGAGAATTATTTATAAACATCGTATCTATTTCTGTTAGGGCTTATTTTGTAAAGTTATCTAATCCTTTTAGTATCTGCTTTTATAGTTACACAAATTCAGATTTACAGATGCTAAGCATCACTTACAAACACACAAACACTACACATACACATACACACACTCATACAACTTACCCAATCTATTTCTGCATTATCAAACCTGACAAATAAGAAAGTTGTATTTGTTGAGAATTTTGTATAAATGAATTTATACATTTGATACTCAATGGCCAAGATAATTTGGAAATCTTTCATTTAATTTTCTATAATATCTTATCTTCCACTGCTTATCTGATTGTTGCCATTGTGGAGATGTTCAGTAAGTGGAACTATGGGGTTGGAGTGTCCCATGAGAAATAGGTAATTGTATTTATTCTACTTGTGTTTTGGGTTTTAGCTTTTTTTTTTTTTTTAAGATTTTATTTATTTATTTGACAGAGAGAGATCACAAGCAGGCAGAGAGAGAGGAGGAAGCAGGCTCCCCGCTGAGCAGAGAGCCCGATGTGCAGCTCGATCCCAGGACCCTGAGATCATGACCTGAGCTGAAGGCAGAGGCTTAACCCACTGAGCCACCCAGACGCCCCTGGGTTTTAGCTTTTTATTTAATCTAGATTTTCTAGCAGAATTGGTTTCACATGCAAGTCATTTCATTGTTTTTCAATATGGAATGCATTTGGACTTTTTAAGTAAATATTAAAAGGGAAAATTATAAAAGCCAAAATATTTTTATGATTTATTTCCATATAAATTACAATTGTATTAAGATCCCTGCAGTTCAAGAACAAGAGAGGAATGTAAGGAATTAGAAAATTTCTGGTCCTTATGTTTAAAAGAATCTGGAAAAAAAAAAAAAAGCTTAAGAAGTAGCAAAAGTGGCAGTTAAGAAAATTTTCCTAACTTTGGGGTTCAGTGTTTTTATTATGGGCCAGAACAAATTTTAGAGTTGGGTGGTGGTGATTTTTGTTTCCAAACATATGGCTTGCTTCCAAACAAATTGTTGAAATAATGTGGCCTGAATGCAAAAGAGATCAAGAAAAGCCTTACGCTTTCTATATCTTACCTTAGGTAAACTTGCTGTTATGTGAGTAAACTATTTTTTGTAACAGAAGTTAGAGCTAGCAAACCCATTCATTTTTATGAGTTAATTTATACGCTAACTTCATGATAACTATTTCTGGAAACCAAGCTAAGTGATATTTCTTCCAAGAAGTTTAAGAACATGGGTGATGAACTTTTTTTTTTTTCTTTTTGCTAAGTGCCACATGAAAGTATTTGAATTCATTTTGTCTTTATCCCCCCAAAGAAATATAAGTCCCTATATATCTGCTTTATTACCTTAGGTATTAGTGAATATAAAACTCTATTTCATAAATGTTATGTTTTTAAATGTTATGATTTGTCTCTTTAGTAATAATATTAGAGTAGGAAATTAGAATAAAGTATACACATATACATACCACACAGATTCAGAGAAACACGCAGAAGGTCATGTTTCACTAAAACAATTCAAAGTCAGACCATAGGACTCAGCATATAAGGTCACGAAAGTGGTGAATAGTGCTGAGAGAATCAAGGTTATCCTTTGCACTATCTGTAGTTTTGAAATTTTAGACAGGAAGTTCCTCAAAACTGATAGGAAACAATGAATGAAATTATTGTTTCTGTTTACTTAAGACAAGGAATAATTTTGAAAGTACTCGACAAGAAGTAGAGCGGTTGATGCAAAGAATGAAATCTGCCAACCAGGATTACAGACCACCCAGCCAGTGGACAATGGAAGGCTACCTTTATGTCCAGGAGAAACGTGAGTCACAAAGACATAACTTAATGAGTCTTATGATTAATTAACATTTTGTTTCGTGAAATTTGACTTGGTTAGTGTTTATTCTTTCAAATAGGAAGACTGCAATCCTTATAGCTTTATCATATTTAGTCTGCTCTCCCACTATCACCACCAAAGTGAGGAAGTTTTTCCACATTTCGCCATCAAGATCTCCAAGTTGACATATTGTTGAACTTGGAACTTAACAACCCTTACTGATGATATGGTAACATGAGTTCAGTTTTAGAATTTCATTGTAATAGCTAATCTCAATTTAAACTTTCACGGAAAATTGAAATTCAGCTGAAGGCAGTGGCTTTAACCCACTGAGCCACCCAGGCACCCCTGGAAAATTGAAATTCAAAGCCTTTATCAGTATGAATCATCCTGGTGATTATGATAATACTTTCTCTTCCTACAGCATTATTTCATTAAGTTCTGTGCTCTATTAGTTTTCAGGAATAAAACTGGCAATTTTGTAATGTCAGATTGGCACTTTTTTACTTCCTGAGGTTATAAAATAAGCACCAGACGCAATATGGCACTATTGTAATTGCTTATACTAAGACAGTTTTCTCACGAAAATTAATAAAAAGCCATTCAAACTTGTATAAATAGGATTCTTTCTGCATGATACTTGCATTGAATGGAACCAGTCTGACTAAACTATTTCAAACCAGATATGCGCTAATGCACTTGTCTCCTGTTTATGGTAAAGGAGCAGTCATTTTTATTTCCAATCCATTATAGCTCTCTCTCTTTGTAAAACACAAAATCATATGCTTGGATTTTGCAGTAATGCTCATTCATTGTAAAAGTTTTGAAATGCTGAGTGAAGTAGTGAATGAAGTACTTTCTGTACTATTGTCATATAGTAGGACTCAAAAAACACATAGAATAGCACTGCTCTGGGGTCTCCATATCAGTAAGTAATAGATTAATGAAGTTGTTTTGATATTATAGTTATAAGGGTTGGGATAGGAAAGCTAGAGATACTGGGTTGGCTGTGGAAGTTTTTCACGTAATGCAATATGATTACTAAAATGCCAGCACATCTCATGTTTGACATGCTCAGATGATGCTCATTTGTTAAATAACAGTATATAAGCAAATAATGATTTGATCCAACAGACTCAGCAAATATTTATTACCGTATGGATTAGATGATAGAGGGCTGCTGGATCAGGAGATCTGGGTTTCAGATTTTTCTTTCATCAGTATCGACTTTGACCAGTCTGCTGTTTTTGGATGTTAAAATAAATCTAATGACCAGCCTCGCTATTCTGTAATTAGGCCATAAATAAATCACTTTCAGCACAATTTCATGGGGGAAAAAAAAAACCAACTAATCCATTGGTCACATACGGAGTATATGGATTTAACCCAGAATACTTCGGAAATTTTTAAATACTTGTTTTGAATAACTGTTTCAGATTTGAAAACCCCAGTGTGAGGGTACATAGAGAGGAGCTTACGTTTTGCCCCAACAAAACGTTTTCGTGGCAGAAAAATGTATTGATAAAGAGGCTTGTTCAAACATGCATGTGGTAGAGGAGGTGGCATCCTCTTGTTCAAAGATTTTTTTTTAATTCATTAAGATGCAGTATTTTATTTCTTGAGTTTTTTGTGTTGTTGTTGTTTAATTCCCCCAGTGTTACATAGTTGCTAATCTCTTTGTGGGCGCACAGTATTTTGTTCTAAAGAAAAAAGCTTTGGATTACTTAGCAAATTCTTTTTACATCGATCTTCAAGTTTATCGTGTTTATTTGGTGCTTGGGAGTCCATCCATTGGACAATGCTATAGTTTACTTACTCTACAGCTGTTGGACATTTGGGTCAAAATACAAGCATAGGCCCTTTAGTAACTTGGGAACTGCATGGGTACACAAAATGCAATGTTTTATGTACCCATCTGATGTTGGTATGTTGTGTTTTAAGATACATGACTTCTCTGGGTCAGTCTGAGCTGATGATAAAGCCCTTTGTGACACCAACTTTTCTTTGAAATTTGCTATCCTTCTAAGTGATACCACCCACCTTCCTAGGCTAAAGACTGGAGGTAAATCCTTTACTCCTTAACTCCATTGTCTCCCTGTAACCCAGAGCCAACTCTGTCTATTTGATCTTCTTGATAACCTTTCAACCCACGCCTTCTCTCATCTCCACAGTCTTTCATTGGTCTCATCATTGCTCTTCTTTTGCCTCTAGGCTTGCCTGTCTATAATCCATCCTCTACAGGATGGAACTCTTGGCATATCTGTTTATGATGCTAGTTATTGTGCCCCTCCTGTGATGGTCTCCTAAATGATGTGTGGTCTTTGAGACTTGAACAGTTGGACTCTTTTAGCATTCTATCCTTTGATGTTGTCCTCCTACTCCTAAGATAATTTCATTTCCATTTTCTCTATATCCCCCCATATTGTTTTTACAGCTTTAGTGAGGTACAGTTGGCATATAGTGAATTGCAAATATTTAAAACATATAATTTAAGTTTTGCCATATATATGTGTGTGTATGTATAAGTTTTGCCATATATATATATATATATATATATATATGACCTATGAAACCATCACCACTATGAACACATTCATCACCTTCAAAAGTGCTCTCATGCCCTAGTGTAATCCCTCTCTCTCTTTCCTATTCACTATCTCCCCACTTCCTATTGCCTAGAGATTTAAAAAGAAAAATGAATAAATGTATATCCCTTTGGAATTATTTTTATATGAGGGTCAAATATCCAAAACCCCTTTCTACTTGGTACCTTGGAATGCATTTATAAGAAAATCAGACCAGTTCACTAAAACATGCTGGTTGTACTATTGCTGTCACTGAATAAATAAGTTCTATGGGCAATAGAAGATGAGATAAAGAATTATGGCTTTAGGGTTTTTATTCTGTAATGGAAGGCATAAGACAAACTCATGCAATTATTAACTAGTAATCAATAGTAAATATCAGAGCTGTAAATTGAGTGATAAATGGAGATACATGTGATGAGGTAGTAGTAGCAGATCATTGCAGTTTAGACACAGAGCTCCACTTTATCTGGATATGTGGTTTTATGTTACCCATTTCTAGGCATATGTTAAATTACATTGCAATAGACTTCATTTTATTTATTTATTATTTATTTATTTTTAATTTAAATTTTAGTTAAAATACAGTACAGTATTGGTTTCAGGAGTAGAATTCAGTGATTCATCAGTACATACAATACCCAGTGCTCATCATGACAAGTGCCCTACTTAATACCCATCACCCATCTAGCCCCTCTTCTACCCACCTTCCTCAACAACCCTCAGTTTGTTCTCTATTTCAAGAGTCTCTTATGGTTTGTTTCCCTCTCTCCTCCCTCCCCACCATCTGTCCATGTTTTCTTTCTTAAATTCCACATGAGTGAGATCATATGGTATTTGTTTTTCTCTGGATGACTTATTTACTTAGCATAACACACTCTAGCTCTAGCCACATTGCAAATGGCAAGATTTCATTCTTTTTGATGGCTAAGTAATATTTCTGTGTGTGTGTGTGTGTGTATGTGTCTGTGTGTGTACCACATATTCTTTATCTATTCATCAGTTGATGGACACTTGGGCTCTTCTGATAGTTTGGCTATTGTTCATAATGCTGCTGTAAACACGGGTGCATGTACCCTTCTGAATCTGTATTTTTTTATCTTCTTATTGCTAGATCATAAGGTAGTTAATAGACTTAATTTTAAACAGGAAGAACATGGTTCCAAAGTCAAAATTATGTTGGAATTCCATGCTTGCAACCTGTTACTGGGTGATTCTGGATGAACAGCTTTCTGAGTTCAGTATTCTCATTTATAAATTACCTATCTAGTAATGATGTTGCAAGAGTAGAGGTGATATATGTAAAATGTCTCTATTATCAGCAGTGGTAAATAATACTTATCATGAACATTTACTGTTCCATGCAATTTATATTCATATCATTAGATTCTTAACATAACTGTTGAGAAGTATTAATCCTCTAAAAAGTACAACTTCAGTCACATGCCTATTGATAGAGAAAGTAACATCTCCAGCTCTTAGGCTATATTTTCTTATATGTAAAATGCTCCTTATAATGTCTGACTTAATCTGTTTTCTCAGCACAGTAAGTAACACATGAGTCTCATACAATGTCTAACTTAAAAAGTTTCTAGATAACATGTGGACAGTAGTAGGTATTCAGTGAATATTATTTCCTCCCATTCCACAAATACCATCTCGGCAACCTCAGATGATTACTGGGTAAGATAGTTAAACTTATCTAATTAATTTAATTATTTTTAAAGATTTATTTATTTATTTTAGAGAGAAGGAGAGCATGCAGGGATATGGCAGAGGGGCAGAGGAAGAGGGGAGAGAGAAGCTTAAGCAGATTCCATGCTGAGCTTGGAGCCTGAGGCCCAGGACTCTGAGATCACTACTTGAACCCACCAGGAGTCCTACGCTTAACTAACTGCACCACCTGGATGCCCCTAAACTTGTTTTATTTTGCAGCTCTAGAGATAGAATAAATTTTATTTTCCTACACTTTTTTTTAAGGACTTCAGAATTTCTTGTCTAGGAACATCTGCCCTGGCCTAGTGCCAAGCAACTTTAAAGGAAGTAGCATGTGTGTACAACAAACCTGAAGATTAGATGTATGAGGTTCTGAACTTAAGACAGAGGCAGGGAAAAAAACAACTTAGGTCTAAAATGTAATCAGAGCATTGCAACAGCTTTATTTAAAAATTATTTTAAAATTATTGCTTAAATTCAATTAGCCAACATATCACTAGTTTTTGATATAATGTTCAATTATTCCTTAATTGCATATAATACCCAGTCCTAATTGAATGTAAATAAAAAATAAAAGTGAAATTAAAGAAAATAATAATGTTATTGCTAATATCGCTTTATAAATTTCTTCCTAAGTAATAAAATCATTATAAGGATTTTCATCCAGGCCATTTTCCATTCATCAGCTCTAAGCCTGTAAGTATATTATATTGCATGGAACAGAATTATCAACAAGTGTGCTTAAGTATTATAGTGTGAAATGGTCCTAAAAATGAATTGCAGTTTATTATAATAAACCTTTGTGATTACAAAGTATATAGCTATACCCTATAATTTTGAGATCTGGGGTTGTTTAAGTATTTTAAAGCTAAATGTGACACCAAGGGCACTATTACTACAGAAAAAATTTCAAATGCTTCATGAAACACTTTTCTTAAATAGTGTATTTTTACATTAAAGTTTCTTGCTTTTTAAATATATGGTTATGAAACCAAGCCAGCAATAATATTGTACATAATTGCTGCTGGAAAGGTGCAGGTTTTAAGCAGGATGGGACCTAGATGGAGAAGTTTTGTAGAAAACAAACTGCATTTTCAACCCACTCGGCCCACTGTGGCATTGGGATGCAGGCTACCTGTGGGAAACTGAAGATTTACCTTGGTCATGGAAAAATTGAACTCACTATGCATCCCTATTCCCTGGTGAAGCAGCAGCATCTAATTCCTTAAGAAGAATATAGGAGAATAATGTGGTATGCTATGGGAAAGAGTTGCACAGTACTTATGGGGGGAAAATAAGCACTATACATATAAAACTTTCTTTTAAAATGGGAAGTAAAAGTTACTTTCACTTTAAGGATTACTTGAGTTTGCTTATTTTCAGATTAGTGGTAAGAGGAAATAACTCCAAGATCAGTGAAGTCTTAGAGAGAAAGAGAAGTGATTGATTCCTTCATTTGTCAAGAATTTATTGAGTGACAGCTAATATCTGGCCTTGTTCTAAGGATTAAGAATATCCTAGTGAGCAGAGCATCACATGTTCCTGCTCTCATAGAACCTTAGAGTCTAGTGGTAGAAACAGACAATAAATAGAATAAATCCATAAAATTTATCTTATTTTAAACAGTGATAACTGCCAAGAAGACAATAAGCAAGAAAGCGATAAATATCAAGGTGAGACTGTTGAGACATTAGATATCTCTGTAGGAAAGGCTGTATTGTAAAGGTGTCATTTAGGAAAAGACCTGGAGAAGTGACAAAGCAAGCCATGCAGATATCTGAAGTAGAAATACTCCAGGCTAGAGGAACAGGATGTACAAATGCCCTGGGACAGAAGTGCATTCCCTGTGTCCAAGGGTAGCAAGAAGAATAGTGTAGTTAGAGCAGAGTATATGAGGCAGAAGGTAGTAAAATGTGAGGTGAGATCAGTAAAAAAGGGCCAGATCATGTGTGCATCGTGTATAGTCATAGGCTCTTTGGTTTTTACCTGGAGTGAAATGGGAAACCACTGGAGGGTGTTGAACAAAAAGGATGAAATGAAATGGCTAAAATTTTAGCAGTATTTCTGAAAGTTTTAAGAATAAAGGACGAAGGATAGAAGTAAGGAGATCAGTTATAGGCTATTTCTTGTTCTTACTAGCTCTTGGGAATGTAAGGTATGCCACTTTTACTGAGGAGATAACTGAGGTTCAGATCTAAAGGGACTCTTGAGTTACAGGAGAGTGTCAGTGCTGCAAGCAAGTAGAGCCAAGTTGTTTGATTCCCGGACATTGTACCCTATAAAACTCTCCCTCTGTACTGGCCTTTCTCACAATAAATATTCTACAGCAGTATGGCCTGTGGAGATGTTCAGTTGTGTATCATAGCATCAAAAACTGTACAAACATAGTCACAAATGATTTATTAAAAATCTGTAATATTTGTTTCCTTATATCAGGACCCCTTGGTTTTACATGGATTAAACATTATTGTACATATGATAAGGGAAGTAAAACATTTACAATGAGTGTTTCAGAAATGAAATCCAGTGGGAAAATGGTGAGTTTTCTTCTTTTTTTTTTTTTAAACTGAACTTGTTAGCTAAGTAATAGAAGTAAAAAAACAAAGTCATATTTGCTTGCTTTTCTTAAACATGTAAACAATTTTTAAAAATTAAAAAGTCAAAAAGTTTTCTCTAACTTCAGTGATCTTGATGACTTAAAAAGAGCAGCCAGGATTTTCCTTTACCTTACAATGGAGTGTTTATAAACAGTTGAATTAAATGTAGAGAACTTTTAGTAGACCTCAGACATGTCCTCTCATATCCCTATCACAGAGTTTGCTTTTAGGGGGCTAAAACCTCATTAGAGACTCAATGGCTAGACCAGGCTCAAGGACTCTGCATCTTTCCTCCAGGCCACCTCTGTGGGAGGCTGCTTTTTGCCCCTGCATGCCACTTCCTCTTCTACATTGTGTACTGTTTACTGAAATGTTGGCCAGCATTCAGAAGAAATCAGTTGATGCCCATTTACTCAAAAGTAAATTGGTCACTGGATGTCTTGCATGGCTAGTGAACAGTATAGAACAAAGTATACTTTATGTAAGGAAGTTCTACAAAGTACAACACCTTTATTGTATATAGTGTATAATCTTTTTGTGAATTATGATATGAATATGGCAAGTGACTGTATTTAAGAATTAGGTAACTGGGACCATCATCAAAGAATCCTAGAGCTGAGAGTTATCCTAAAGATTATTTAGTCCAGCCTTATTTTAACAGATTAGAAAATCAAGGTGGTGGAAAGTAAGTGACTCACCCAACTAATTTGTGGTATGGATCATAGTAGAGGTAAATGCTGATCTAACTTAGATATATATTCAAATACATCAGCTGAAACTTGTTGTCCTTGGCCATTCAATAGAGTCTAATAATTCAAATGGAAAGACATAATATAAAGAATATACCAGAGCAAAAGAAACCTTCAGCCCATCATGAGAAGTTAAGGCCTAGTGTGTACTTTAAAGTTTTCATAAGAAAAGTTGTTGCCTGAAAGTCAGCTTATGTGACAGTCAGTGAGCTGTTAGCAGATAGACCCAAGCCAAACTTCTGTTAATAAATCTATGACCTTTGTAACCAAAGATAGTAGAGTTAACCAGACATTAGGGAAATATTCCTCTTAAGGTAACTGGTGTCTCAGGTATAGAAGAGAATTCTTATAGCTCGAGCTTATGTTGGATCCTATCCAAAGAGTTAAGAGTTTAGGAGCAGAGTAGCAATTGGTTACCAGCAAAGCAATCATGCAGTGTGTATGATAGCAATACATTTACAACAAGAAAATACTAGAAAAATATTATTTTGTTAGCTCTCCTGAAACTTTGAGCCAGTTATCATTTAATACTCTAAGGCTCTAATGCATAAACATACACATGTGTACACATACTTGCTCATATGCACACATACACAAAAATGAACAATACTGATCTCTTAGCAACCTAGGGCATTTTGATGCCAAAGCAACAGTGTTGTATCCTGACAAGCTCTGTATATCTAATTGTGACATTATGGTAACTATGATTTCACACTTTTTCTAAATTTGAAGTCCTAAAGAATGTACTTTGTAGTACACGTTAACATAAGTAAGTATGTTTGAGACTACTAGACAGGCATGCCACAAGATTCTTTAATTAAAATGTGCATGTGGTTAGTTTATTAACTGTATTATAATTGAGCAGTTAACATTAGGCAAAAAGTCTGTATTCAGAGGACAGGATGTGATTATGACCTTTATATATAAGCTGTACTTATGTATAACATTTTGGTGCAGCAGCAGCATTAGTTGGCATTTTTAATATTCTCCAGTTGCCCTTGTCATCATGTCAATAACGTGTTCTTCTTGTTTCAGAATGGCCTTGTTACTGGCTCACCAGAAATGTTTAAATTGAAATCTTGTATCCGACGAAAGACAGATTCAATTGACAAACGGTTCTGCTTTGACATAGAAGTAGTTGAAAGGTTTGAGGTTTTCTTTTCACTTTATATTTTTTAATAAGCTAAATTATTTGTTTCTATGTTTAGATATAAATATGAAACAGCATACAAGTACTTTTCAGTCTTTAAAAATATTATGCATGTTTATTTCATTCTTTGGTGTATTTATTCAACAAATATATATTGTGTGATGCTTTCAAAAAATAAGTCAGACAAAGGATGCTAGCAAAAAGCAACATCACTCAAAGAAGAATTTGGGGAATCAACATAAATGACTGTGTTAGGGGATATATGGTGATGTATGGTGGACTTGAGTTCCCATCACTATGAATGATCCTGACAATATTGTTTACCACTCCTGGATAAGTCTTTTTGTGGACTTTGAAGGCTGGTGGCCTTTGCTTCCAACGAGTAATAAGACACAGCTGGAAATGCCATAATTTTCCTTCAGCCAGTGAAATTCAGTACCTGCTCTATGCGGAGCACCATTCTAGACATTCTCAGCTACAGGATATTGGGAAAGACATAAGTGTACATGTGAGCTTATAACCTAGAAGGGATTTTTAGATCTGTATCTCTCTCTCTCTCTCTCTCTTTTTTTTTTTTTTTTTTTTTTTGGTAGCAATACACGAGGAACAAAACCTAAATAAGAATGGGTATACTTTTTGATCTCTGTTCTACTCCATGATCTATTTTTCTTCCCCTGTATTACTACCATTCTTCTCTGAATATTCTAGCTTTGTGTGGTGCACTATATAGAACACATACTTTACATACTCTTATATACTATAGGTTACATATATGTAGATTATAACTACTTAGTAGAGCAAGGCCCCTGTTTTTTATGCTTTTTAAAAATTGTGTTAAATATTTTGGCACTGTATTTTTAGATTTTATGTATCCATTTATTAAGTTTTCATTTCTTTCCAAAAAAATCCTTTGTGATTTTTGCCTAGAGTAGCATTAGAGTTATTAATTAATTGATGGAGAGTTGAACTCTCTTTGAAGATTTTATATTTTTTTAATATTTATTCTTGAGTATTTTCATTTTATTGCAGTTTTGAATAGAACTCATGACTGTATCTTTTTCCCAATGGTTGAGACTCCTGTATTGAAGGGCTATTAATCTTTTTAATATATCAATCTATATCGGCATAGTTTTTGAGCTCCTTACTGATTTTAATAGTTTTGTGATAGGAATTTACAGATTTTCTATGCAGACAGATGCCAACACACTAGAGATTTTTCTTTATTTCAGCACTTTTTAGTTCTGTAATCCTGGGGTACATTGTTAAGTTGTGCTTTGGTTGTCTCATCTGTAAAATAAGGATAAGTACCCATGTCAAAGGGCTCCTGTGATGATTAAATTAGATTTAAAAAAAAAGGAAACACATTTATAACATAGTGCCTGACACATAATAAACAGCCAAAAAAATATTGTTATCTTATTATTTTTGTTGATGCTGGCTTAGATTCTCTCAGATCGAATGATCTTGATCTTCATATATGTTTTTCCTTTTCCTGTCATTCCAATGATCTGTTTTCCTGTTTTCACAAGAAATAATATGCTTTCAACACAGTTTTAAGTCATACCAGTTTTCAGTCACACAATATTTAACTCAGGTTTCCTCCTCAGTGTACCTCTTCACGGAGTCCTCTAATTTCCTATTTAAATTTGTTTTCTGGACAATCTGCACAATTAACTAGGTTAATTTAACTGCTTCTGAATTTCATGTCTTTTTCTATCTTACATTGCTTTCCTCCTTCCCTTTGCTTGCTCTTTCTCCCTTGAAGTACATCCTCAAGTAACTTACTCAGAATGGATACATGGGAAAGGATGCTTTTTAAATGAATTAATTTTAACATTGTGATCATGGTATAAACATTTTGGTTTAGTGTCTTTTTAATAATTCACTAATTACATTATGAAACTTGTCATATGAATATACTCATTGCAATTATTTTTGGTGACTAGATTGTACACATTGGGGTCATAATCTTAATCATTCTCATATTATAGAACATTTAGGTGGTTCTGAACTTTGGTGAATGTAACTTTGTCATCTTTTTTGGTCATTTCAGAGGAAATAGTTTGGAACTAGCCTCCTTCATGTAGTCATACCTAAAGCAATGATTTTACTACCTGTAGCCATTAGAATTAAGAAATATTTGTTTGTTTGTATGTATATGTATATGTGTCCCCACAGTGATTTTTCTGAAAGGTAACTATAAATCAGTCTTATTTTACCTTTTTAAATTCTTTTTTCTTTTTTCTATTTCCTTTTCTCTCTTTTCATTTTTTTTTTCTTTTGAGTTTTTTCTTCAAGTTTTATCTGTACTTTTAAGAGTAATAAGTGTGTAAAGACACAACAGGAATAAACTGAATATATAAAATATTTGTTTTTAAATAGGCATGGAATCATCACATTGCAGGCATTCTCAGAAGCTAATCGGAAACTCTGGCTCGAAGCCATGGATGGTAAAGAACCGGTAAGAATATGACACATTCTATAATTTAGGTTTTATTCTTCTAATTACAAAATACATCTGAAATTTTTTTTTATGTTTGAAGTAGTATATTTGAAAATAATTAGTATAACAAGTCAGAGTAGAGACTCTTACTGTTTTTCTAGTGTTGTCTTAATCATTGGCCTAAATTTATAATTTCTTTCTCAGGGGGACTTCTAGATTTAAAATCCTAAAATTACTTTTTAACAAATTACTTATCACTAACCTGGCTGTGCTGATTGAATTATTTTATTCAGTTAATAATTGAGTCCCCACTCTCTGGAAGGCCTGTGCTAAGCTTCGTAATCAGTGTGATGAGCATAGGTTCAGGGTAAGAAATAATTGTATGGTCTATATCATTGTTTTAAAGTCTCATGGGGTGGGGCCCCTGGGTAGCTCGGTCAGTTAAACATCTGACTCTTGATTTTGGCTCAGGTCATTATCTTAAGGTCTTTAAATTGTCATTATCTCAGGGTCTTGAGATCGAGCCCCACATTGGCCTCTGTGCTCAGGGGAGAGTCTGCTTGAGATTCTTTCTCTTGCTCTGCCCCTCCCCCCAATAAATAAATAACTCTTAAAAAAAAAAAGTTTCATTTGGTCAAACTGTCTTGTGGCTTGACATTTTCCCTTCTATCCATATCCCCACTGTTTTAATAGTTATTTCAATGTGGGCATGATAATTTACTTAAAATTATTAGGGAAGCTATGTTAAAAAGGGAATGAATAAATCACTAATCACTGTCTGTTTCCCTTGTGAAGAACACTGCATGGATTGTTGGAGGAGCATACAGAGAAAATAGGAGGCCCTGTTCTGTCCCTTGAGAACTATCCTTTAGTTGGCAAAGAATCTGTGAACAAACTTGTGCAAAGTACCTATGCAACATCACACCTAAAGTGTTGTCCCTAGACTTTGAGGCCATCCCTCCAACTACTACCAGTCCACTATAAAATGAGTGCAGAAATTAAGATTAAACATCTAGGAAATTTAATAACAATTTGGAGAACTCATTTTACATCTATTGAGTTTAAAAATAAAAATTTGGACTTTGCATCTATTCTTTATAATGTTTATTATGTTTTACTTTATTATTACTTATAAAAATATCAGCCAATTACAAACTAAAAATTAAAACAAAATGACTTGACTCTTTGCCACTAAAAGTTGTGAGGTAAGCCCTGACCTAGAGCAAATTTAGGAGATGGTATGACAGCTCAGGTATAAGTTAGGGCTGTACATGTTGAGAACAAAACACTAAAGAGATAATTTGAGGAAGGAGTAATCTGGTAAAATCCATCATGAGATCCTTCCTGAAGAAAGGATACATACTGTGCATCATTTCAGGTAATAAAATAAGATATATAAATCATCTGAAAGGGGTAGAACCTTGCTCAGGGCTGGACAGCCATAATGGAAAGAAGTGGGGAACAAGGTAAGGTTGACAGGTAGGAAGTTGGCCCTATGGACATACCAGTTGTAGGACCTTGAAATCAAGATACTCTCCTTTGTGTATCATTGTACCGTCATCGCCCTGCTTCTGTGCAGGGTCATTAACTGATAAGGCTTCCTTTGTTTTTTTAGATTTACACGCTGCCTGCCATTATTAGCAAGAAAGAAGAAAGTAAGTTGTTTTAATAATTATTTAAAATTTTATCACAGTTTATTTTTAATTACAAAGGTATTATGTGGTATTAAGAATTAATTCTGAGAAAATGTACCTTTGATTTGATGGTTAAACAAATTTAAAATTTTCATTCAAAGAAGTTTCTCAAGTCAAAGCTACTGGTGTTATAGTGACCAAAATTAATTTTTATTTGTTTAGTGTTTATTTACTTATAGGTATGTACTTTGCTTTATCCCAGGAGGAGATTTGAAGCAATTTATATTTATTTGATTTTTTAAATGTTTTTAAGGGCAATAGAGAGTTTCTTTATTTTAGTTTCCCTGTTCCAGTGACTACACTGAAGACATGAATACTTTGTGCTGGTTTTAGGAGATTGTGCCCAAGATTGTGATGTATAAAGACATTGTCATATGACATGGGATATGTAGGAGAACCTTTGTCTCACTATAGAATTACTGAATCCTTAGTACTAAAGCAGTCTTAATAAGCACATTTTATGTGTTTTCCATCACATACTAAATCCATTTAATCTAATCCACTTAATTGTCTGCCATATTCTTGCCACCCTTGGCAATTACCCTTGGTTACTTTAAGGTATTTTCTTTTTTATGTACTCTATATGGCCAGATTATTTGACATATAAAAACTAGTTTGTATATTTGTTTCTAAGGTTATCTGTATATCTTCTAAAGCAACTTAAAGTTTTATTTGATTCAATTGACTTTCTCTCATGATGTCTAAATTTATTTTTAAAACAAGATTAATAATAATCCTGACTTTTAAATTGCTAATACAGTGCAACTTAGAATGAAGTGAAGATAAAAACTAGGAAAGCACTCATTTGAAGGTCATAAATATTGAGTGTATGAGAGAGCCTATTATTTTAATGGAATGAAATGCTTCCTAGCAATTCATTTCAGAAATTATCAAAAGAAAAAACATGATTTAAAGTATACCTAATGTTAAAGACTTAAAAAATTATTTCCAGTTTTATTCTTGCATTTCTTTATTGCAAATCAAGGAAAGTGACTAGTATAAGATCTTCCATTGCCCATTTATATCTAATCACAGAAATAATAACCAACAGATTAGTACCAAATGTTCATTCTAAGCAATTACCTAAAGAGCAATATATTATATAATTTGCATTTGAGTAGAGTTTGAAATGTGTTTTCTAATACTGGTTTCATTTTTCTTTTTTTTTTTTAATTTTATTTTTTCAGTGTACCAGAATTCATTGTTTATGCACCATGCCCAGTACTCCATACAATACGTGCCCTCCTTAATACCCACCAGCAGGCTCACCCAACCCCCCACCCCTCCAAAACCCTCAGTTTGTTTCTCAGAGTCCACAGTCTCTCATGGTTCACCTCCCCCTCCAATTTCCCCCAAGTCACTTTTCCTTTCCTTCTCCTAATGTCCTCCATGTTATTCCTTATGTTCCACAAGTAAGTGAAACCATATGATAATTGATTTTCTCTGCTTGACATTTCACTCAGCATAATCTCCTCCAGTCCCAACCATGTTGATACAAAAGTTGGGTATTCATCCTTTCTGTGGAGGCATAATATTCCATTGTTTACATGGACCATGTCTTCTGTATCCATTCGTCTGTTGAAGGTCATCTTGGCCCTTTCCACAGTTTGGCGACTGTGGCCATTGCTGCTATGAACATTGGGGTACAGATGTCCCTTCTGTTCACTACATCTATATCTTTGGGGTAAATACCCAGTAGTGCAATTGCAGGGTCATAGGGTAGCTCTATTTTTAATTTCTTAAGGAATCTCCACAGTTTTCCAAAGTGGCTGCCCCAACTTGCATTCCCACCAGCAGTGTAAGAGGGTTCCCCTTTCTCCACATCCTCTCCAACACTTGTTGTTTACTATCTTGTTAATTTTGGCCATTCTAACTGGTATAGGTGGTATCTCAATGTGGTTTTGATTTGAATCTCCCTGATGGCTAATGATGAACATTTTTTCATGTGTCTGTTAGCCATTTGTATGTCTTCTTTGGAGAAGTGTCTGTTCATGTCTTCTGCCCAATTTTTTTTTGTAATTTTATTTTATTTTTCAGTGTTCCAAGATTCGTTGTTTATGCACCACACCCAGTGCTCCATGTAATGTGTGCTCTTCTTAATACCCAGCACCAGGCTCACCCAACCCCCAACCCCCCCCTCCAAAACCCTCAGTTTGTTTCTCAGAGTCTACAGTCTCCTGGTTTGTCTCCCCCTCCGATTTCCCCTAACTCACTTCTCCTCTCCATCTCCCAAAGTCCTCCATATTCTTCCCATTTTTGACATGATTATCTGTTCTTTTTGAGTGGTTTCATTTTTCATACATAGTATAAACTTCAAATGAACGTACTCAATGATAAATCCTGAGAAAATAACTGAACCTATATATAGTATTCAGTAAGGCTTTAAATGGGGACATGGTTAAGTCACTGAGAATATATTTGATCTTTATTACATTTCTTGGAAGTAGGGTTTCTATCGTAACTAGGAAATTTGAATAAGAAAGTTATCACATGTACTCATGCTCTGATGGAGGGGAAATACACTTTTTAATGCCATAAAGACTTCTAGAAATCTGCTTTCTTGTAGCCTTAGCCACCTGAAACATCACTATGCCACCATTTGTAATTATAAAATAGTATATTTTTCAGAAAAGTAGCTCTTCTAGAGCCCATGTATTTGTGGCATTTCTCACATTTTGGCTTTTGGTATAGTGTTTGAGCATCCTTCTTAGTTCTCTGAGCAACTTGTGACAGAACACTTGTCCCCTTTTTCTTAGTACTCAACACAGGCTTTTTCCATGAGGTATATGTGCTCAGCACACATTTGCTCTTATTGTTACTCTTAGTGCCAGTAGGTTTTTATTGCCCAAGGGGAGATTTTGATCATAGAAAAGAATATTCTAATTACGTTTGCTTTATTAATATGTAGTGCTTCAAGTTATAAATCTTAACCTTTTGACTTTTATTTTTATTATTTTATCTTAAGCTATAATTTTTCTTTCATCCTATTTTATATACAAATCTTATTTTATATATAAATGCCCTAATTTTTTAAAATGTCATTTTTACTTTGTTTTCATAAATTTGATAGAATTCCTCCATTTATACATTTAACCAATGAAGCTTTTTTTTAGACATATCAAGATATAATACAAAGCTTGTAAATCTTATTTTCCCACATGCAACACTCTAATTAAAGGCCAGTTTCTGATTCTGGCTTATATAATCTTTCTAAACTGGTGGAATCTTTTGTAATCTAGTAAATTGGCTTATAAATGCTGAGATTAATATCCCTTTAAGTATTCTAAACATTTTAAATAATTTATATACAAAATTGTGTAGTGATTTCAAAGAGTCTTACTATGTGGGCTTAAAGCTGACTTACCCAAAATCACACTTATTTCTGATTGTTTTCCCACATTCTTGGAAATTCAAATTTGCTCACCTGAGGAGAATATCTACTCTCTTGAAAAGGCAAGACTATGTCATCAATAAAAAGAAATTCTGACTGATATAGGCACAGGATTGAATGTACTTCCAGAAATAAGCTGTGGGGTGGACTTTTTTTTTTTTTTTTTTTTTGCCAATTTATGTGAGCAAGATTCTCTTAAACATTCCTCAATCCAACATGCCTTGAAGTCCCTTTCCCTAAAATAACCTGCCTCTCAGATGAGAGGGCTTTCCAGGTCGTCAGAATTTAATATTTTTGCATGTAATTTTAAATATTTTACTACATCAAGGCCTAAAATGTGTTAGTGGAACTTTGAATCTCTTGCTCAGATTGTAATCTTAATTCTTACCTCTTTTATCATGTGTCTTATCAGTACACCACTATTTAACTAGTGATTTAATAACTTTAATAACTAATAGGATATACATGAATACTCAACAGTATTCCAGACTCTAGCATATGGTTCACCTGAGAGCAGCATTGTGTTTTCTTTCTCGTGACATGCCTGGAATTGTATTTGTTTCGGTTCAAAATTATATTCCACTGATAGTGAAGTTCTTGGACCTCATTTTTAAGTCCTGAATTAATCATGTAAGCTCATCCTGTTAGTTCACAACAGCTTTGATCTTTATATTCACCCCTTCTACCATTTTTCAATATATCATCTTGTTTTTTTGAGATCTCTGTGTTCCTTTTTGACATTTGAGTCCTCTCAAAAGTGAAGAATTATATCAATCTCCATTTGTAACTTCTCTCTCAAATGGTATTTGAAACAAGCACTAGTCTTGATTCATTTGCCACCTTAGGAAGTGCATCTTTATAGCTTTGGTAATTCAGATGGATACTGTTTATCTTAAAATATTCTAGTTATCTATCCTTTGGAAACTCAGTTTTGCATGGGATATATTTGTATTTTTGAAATGATAAAGCTAATAATGAAGCATAGAGATTGTAAAATATAAAACTCAGATAAAATTTTGTTTTGACTGTCAGCTAATAAGCGCAGTCATAATGTCTATGCTTTCATTAAAAATCCTCAAGGTAATAGAATAAAAACTATTTAGCATCCTAAAATAGGGCCATACTGTGAAGATACAGAGAATATATGCCATAAAATAAAGAGTAAAGCTATTCTGTGGCTGTTGAATCACGAGACTGTCTTTACAAACCTAACATGAAAAAGTCTCAGTACTTTGTGATTACTCTTACTTTACTGTTTTCAGAGTAGAGATGTTGCAAATGAGACTAGCATATAATTCAATAAAGAAGGAAAGTTTGACACTTCTTAATGAAAAAACTACTAAATACAAGAACTAAAGAACTGGTCAGCAAATGCTTTTCTGGTTGTAAAATATGCTTGCAGTATTTACAGTATTCTCTTCTTTCTTTCTTTCTTTCTTTTTTTTAAAGATTTTATTTATTTATTTGACAGAGAGAGATCACAAGTAGGCAGAGAGGCAGGCAGAGAGAGAAGAAGGGAAGCAGGCTCCCTGCTGAGCAGAAAGCCCGATGTGGGACTCGATCCCAGGAC